AAGACGTGTTTTGATTGTAATTCATGCGTGAAATAAGCAATTAATTAGTATAGTATGCATAATAAATAGAGACAATCAAATATTTTTGGAACGACGAGAAAAATAAAGAAAAAGAGAGAAAGAGAGATTTTCAGAAGCTTTTTAAATGCAATAATTTCGACGAGTGTAAGTTTTACTTTAAACTCAACACATATAACAACAACATCGTATTACATTTTATTAATTAAAATTTTGCACAAACATAATACGTTATTACAAGCAAAATAATATATATTTTTGTTACAAAAAAGAAAAAATCGACGAGCTCAATACGTGAACGGAAATAATTATTGCACATTGACCGAGTTTTTTCAACCGATAGTTCCAATTAAAAATGGATATGCGTTTTGTATAAATTAACGTCATAATCAATGAGATATTTTAATACATGTAATATGTTTAAATATGTGCGTATATTTGAATATTAGTATAAAAAGAATAATCAAAAGATTGTTTAGAAAGGCAGTGAGTATGTAGTAATTACAAAAATCTTAAAAAGAGATTTATTAGCATTCACTACCTCTTCTCTAAAAATTCTTAATTAATGAGTGTATAAATCTAAATTGGAGATATCGTGAAACAAAATTCTTCTGATCCGTTAACTTTGCATTTTTAATCTGAGAAATCATTGACATTCCACGCAGTTGATAGACCTCGCTCTAACGCTGTTCCCGTAGGGACTGGCGTCTCCGATTGCGAAGTACCGTTTATTCTGAAGTTGGATAATGGATTCTTGCATTTCTGGTTCTTGGTCGCGTCGCCGATGGACTTGCCAAGAGATTCGTAGGCGCATCATTGACCAATGACCAACGTCTTCTCGGCCAGCGTCTCGGGCCACGGAGAATACCGTAAGAGTACTAATACGTGGGTAATACAGAGGGGGTAAGACCTCTCGGTCAATGCTCCTGCTTAATGTATATAAAGGTTGGAGCCTTGACGGGTGTTCGAGGCAGATCGTCATCAGACATGTTCGGGAAGATTATCCTAGCACTTTCGGCTCTGGCCTGGGCCAGTGCTCAGATTCCTAATCTGGGCTTCTGTCCCGAATATATACCGATGGCGAATTTTAACAGGCAAAGGGTAAGTAATTTAAATGTTTCGTTAGCCAACTTGCGAATGTATTATCGTACATATTCGGTTTATTTTATTTTCTTTTATTATTTTATTTTGTTTGTGGAACATTTAATTTTATGCATATTTGTAGAATATACTCTAATTACAGCGATGTTTCATTACCAAACGAATATCAGAGAAATTAAATTTTCTCTGGTATTACAGAATATTTGTGCAATGAATGATTTGATTTTCTTACAGTTCATGGGTATTTGGTATGAAGCAGAAAGATATTTCCAACTTAGTGAAGTAGTATCTCGATGCGTTATGTCGAATTATACCAGAGGTGCCGATGGCAAATACCGTGTGAGCAATGAAGTAACGAATCGTTTGTAAGTGTATATATATTTCATCTAATTCGTTTGATAAATTTATAAAGTGTATCGGAAATTCGTTAAAAACTAATGGGATTTTAATAATATAATATTTCTGACATTTAGCACTGGTGTAAAAAGGATACTAGAGGGTGAAATTAAACCCGCGGCTTCCAAGTCCGAGGAAGGTAAACTTCAGGTCAAGTATACCACAGTTCCACTGACTCCTGAGACTAAATACTCTGTACTCGAAACGGATTACGATTCGTACGCCGTTTTATGGAGTTGTCAAGGTATTGGCCCGGTACACGCACAAAATGCATGGGTCATGACGAGAGAACGAGTACCGTCTGGAAAAGTGCTTCAAAAGGTAAATCCTTAATAGAATAAAAATCAAATTTTAAATAAAAAGAACCCTATATTTTCGGTCGAAGTGGATCTTAGTGCTTAAATACAAATTTTTCGTGTGAGTTTATATACATTCTGATTCTGCATATACGCGCCAAAATGTTTTCCCAGATTTCGCATTCATCAATAGAACCAGAATAGTAATATCATTTATTAAATTATATAAGCAATTACTAAAGAGAAATTACTAAGTACTAATAATTTTTTTAATGCTAATAAGCATCTTTTACCAAGAATGTTATCATATGTTGACGAAATCTAAAAACTGCGAATAATTAAAAAATTAAACGTTAATAGAAATTCAAATCAAAATGTAGAATTATTAAGTTTAAATGAATTATAATTAAGTAAATTATTCAGTTTATATTAAAACTCAATAATTTATTTGAGTTTTAATATATTCAAGATTTACAACCGGGAATATAGGAAAATAAAAATCATTAATATAAAATAACGTAATAAGTTTTACGTTTTAAAATTATTAATACAATTACAGTTATTATACCATACGCATGCTTTGGAAGATTTACCATTACTATAAAATCAAAAAATGTCTTTTTCGGTTGCAGGCTTATGGTGTTCTTGATAAATACAAGATATCGAAAACATTCTTCGTGAAAACCGATCAAGCCGAATGCGCCTATTTGGACACGACAACAGAGGAGTCTGAGGAGCCAGAGAAGTCGACGAAGCAAAAACAGAGACCGCAACCAACTGAGCCGAATGAGAATTCCAGATCCAGAGATTCCATCGTTCTGAATGATGCCGATATCGAGATAAAGGCGAAGGAGGAAACAACAGCCGGGATTACGGGCGAGAAAGCGCTCTCCGATATTCCGAAGATAATAGCGGAGGAACCCGTAAAGTTCGAGCAGCCCATCGAAACTGTTCCCGAACGGATCTTGAAGTTAGCAGAGACGATAAAGGAGGAGAGTGGCGACACGAGGGATAAAATGATCATTGTCGAGGTCAAGGAGGAGAACGTCGCGGAAAATACGAAGGAGGAGAAAAGCGAACATTCGAAAGAGCCAGAAGCAACTGCTTAGAAGTATTATTTAGCAAAAAAGTCTGTTAGTTGGCGCTAGCAAGGACGTATTCCTGGGGATTTTCGACATCTTAGGCTTGTAGCGGTTTCCTCATTGAGAACCAGTCTCGCTTAAGTACCGCAAAATCATTAATCACTGTCCTATCGACACGCCGTCGTTCTGCGTTGTCGTTTGAGGACATAGGGTTGGCACGGCGCTTTGTTTTATAGGCTTACGTACAAATGTAAAAAAAAAGAAAAGAAAGATAAATAAAATTGTTATAAAAAATGTCTTAATAAAACGTACTCGTTTATGTTTATTATTTCCATTTCATTGTACAGATATAATGATATGAATGTAAAATTAATTACTGATTATTGTAGCGTAATTTAATTATAAATTAATGCGCAGAATTATATCTGATTAATGGAGAATAATATTTGATCAATGAGATATACAACTTTATTTAAAAAAACTTCATTTTTCTTTAAAATTTTCCTTTGTATAATAATTTACTATGATAATTTATATGCCGTGAGTAGTCATGCAATAAGAGAGAAAATGCAGTTCTTAAACTCTTGGAAAGTCTTTTTAGCTTTCGCATCACGATGTGGTGCTAGTAAAATCTAAATGTGTCATAGTATTTTCTACGTGAACATAAATATATGTATAAGCAGGTCACATAACGGATATATTTTTCATATCATTAATAGTTCAATCTTTGATAATAATGATATCAATTTAGAATTATCACTTGATATACAAACATCGATGTGACGTTAACGATTAAGTAAATGTTTCAACTCGGAGTGCAGATGAAGTATTAGAAATAAAAAGCTTAAATATATTTTTTTGTATTTAGATATATAAAAGAACATTCGAAAAGAAATTTGAATATTTTACATGTAAATATAATGCAAAAATATTCTTTTCCAAATTTACCTTTCTTCCCAAATGTACATTTTTTGATTAATAACTTATATAGAATTAATTAAGATTACTTCGATATAGTAATCTTATATAAATATTCTTTTAAATATTTTTTTATTCTCTGTAATGCATAAATACTTAAAACGAAAATATATTCATAAATAATTGTTACATGACGTAGTCGATTTATCATAAACATATTTACACTATTAAAATATTCTCTTTTCAATTCACTCTACGATCTATTAACATATTTTTTTTGTATCTGTTTTATTAATCATTACTGCGAAATCCATGAAAGCACAAACAATCAATTTTCAAAAGTGGTCCATCGCATATGGTCATGAAATGGTCCATGTGCCTTCGAATCTGTTGATCATCTATTGGTCAATGGCAAATTCGAGCCGGGTTTCTTGAACCCCGAACGTACCGTTACTGACCCACTAACTGTCAGTACTCTGCCAAACATATCCAGTCAACCTTCGCGGGTTCGTCTCCGACGAAGCGAATCGCGGAGCAGGAAGTTCAGTCACCTACGAACGATCCGTCGTGTGAGAAGTGATCCTCAGCGCTAATCCTCGTCAATCTCGAAAAAATTGACATTCGACGCGTGTTTTCTGAATATCCGATCGGTCAAGGCTATCAGGTGAGTGCCATAAGATTATATTACCTATATCGCATTCAGGTTGTTTCTCTTTGCCCTTTCTACTTTGATCGAATTTCCTAACAATAAATTGCTCGTTGAACTACTTGTGCAAATATAAACTTCTTGTCAGGTAAATTAAAGAGATCGGAGAATTAGAAATCAGGTCGCTCGAGCTTAAATAACTCACGTGTAAAATTTTCACATAACAGTTTGATCTCTACCTAACATTGTTGTAATACATTGTTGTTTATATCAATATGAATTTCAAATCGCTAGTGCAATTAAATGAAGGAAGATGATACTCGGAATAATTTATTACTTCATTTTTAATACATAACTTGTAAACGTATAAAAACGAAATCAACACAAGTTATGCAACATAAGCGATAAAAACTAGTCCAGCAAGTAAAATACTTTTATAAACGTTATAAAGTATGTCATGCAGAACAGTGTTGTATTGTGATATCATCAATTTAGAAACTAATGTCCGATAATGCAATATAAAAGAGCGCATGCACGTTTCTCTTCATTTTCTTGAGCGTTTCGAAGTTAGTAACTGTGTACTTTAAAAACACGAAAGGAGCACAAAGAAATATCCTTAAAGCGTGATGTAAATTGGTTTGTAAAATAAGCTCTTTAAGTGGTGCATTATACGATAATACACCTCGTGTTGTCGTAACAGTGATTATCATAACGGAAGAATTTTCTATGATCACTGGTAATCCGGTACGTATAGGATGTTTCTTTAATATTTCAATATAAAGTAAACAATTTTGTTTAAAATAAGATTAACATTATCTTTGTTTGATCTTTTATTCTAAATTAATATTTCTGCATGTGCATGTGTGTGCACGTAATAAGTAACAGATTTTACGTATTTGATTTCTTCATATCATTATATAATTTGAATTTTATTTCGATAAGAATCCAACAAACTTATTGTTATACATTAAAACTCTTAAAAAGTTTAACATATTTTATGTACCTATACTGAAGAAAAATATAGTCAATTTTAACAAATATTTAGTTTGATACTGCCAACTAAATATTTATTAAATATAGAGATATATATATTTATTTGATACAAGAAACATTAATTTGATTTAACAATCATTCTTTTTACTGAACAAATATTTATTTACTGTAAGTAAATGTTTAGTTGGCCGTATTGAACTAAATATTTATTAAAATTGACTATATTTTTTTCAGTGTATACATACCTTTAAAAAATGGAACAAATATTTTATGTGTTCTTTTTTCAGAAAAGAATATGTTACGGATATTTGTAATTGTTATCATCGCGAATGCAGCGATGGCGCAGGTGCCATTTTTGGGTACGTGTCCAAACTTGGAAGCAATGCAAAATTTCGAACTTGAAAGAGTGAGTACGGAACGATCATTATCTTGACTTATACCTACTTAAACTGCTTAACATTAAAATAAAGTAACATTAAAGTATGTAAAACAATACTTCCTGTGCATTTAAATCAAAAGTACTTTAAACTCTTTGGAGTAGAATCTCACTTTAAAAAGCGAAAATTGAAAGAGTTTTCAATTTTTAAGAGTGAGATTTCATTCTTCAGAGCGAGATTCATTGTAAAAGTTTTAAAGGGTTATTACAGATTTTTTTTTTCTAGTATTTGGGCAAATGGTACGAAGTCGAGAGGTATTTTGCGTGGTTTGAATTTGGTGGAAAATGTGTGACAGCTAATTACAGTCTGAATGAAAATGCTTCGGTGAAAATCCTAAATAAACAAATTTCTTCATTGTGAGTACGCACAACCTGGCTCATAAAGTAATTTTAAACCATTAAAAGCAAGAAAAACAGTGACATAAGATAGAATGATATCATCGTCAACTGACAATTATCCACTTAAAGTAAAGCTCTATTCTCTTGCATAGAACTGGAGTCGCAACGAGTATCGAGGGCGTTGCAAGGTTAATTGGTAGATCTGATGATCCTAAATTGACCGTCACTTTTCCATCTTTGCCACTGCCGTTCGATGCACCTTATTGGGTTCTAGACACGGACTACAAATCATATGCCGTAGTATGGAGCTGTACAAATCTCGGAGTCCTTAAGTAAGTTTGCATGTGTGAAAAGAACGTGGGAAAAAAATGTAATAAGTATAAGCATTTTTTTGCCTGACTACAAAGTAGATTACAATAAATCTTTCCTGTGTCTTTCGTTATATATCAATTTTGTATTTTATGCTGCTAAATATGTAAGTAGAAAAGAATTTTAATTTCTTAATGTATTATACATTCATGTTTTAAAGGGATATTTTTCTATCTCTGGAAAATCTTCTATCCTAGAGATATTAGATTAGAAATTAGACTGAGCAGACTTTTACTGGATTATTAAAATTATAATGTGTTTTTGCAGTGTACGAAATGTTTGGATTTTGACACGAGAACCAAAACCGTCAGTCGCAATTGTAGAAAAGGCTTATCAAATTATCGACAAGAGTAACATCAGCAGAGCATACTTTATTCGTACAGATCAGAAAAATTGTCCAGCTACGAATTAAGAACGACCTCTACATGAATGGATCTGTACAGAAATATGCTCGAAGAAAAATGTATTTTTTTTTATGATATGCAGTTTTATATAAGACTCCTTGAATCGCGAATTTATTGCCAGCAGATGCTGACTTTGCTCATTATTGTGCAAGTATTATGATTGTGTATTGCGGATGTACTTAATTAATAGAATTGTTATGAATACTTATTTTGTATTCGAAGTTAAAATATTGGGTAGTTGCAATGTTTAAAAAGTTGTATTTTTCTGTCTTTCTATATTTGTTTCTTTCTTGTGACTGTGATTTTTAATGCAATATGAAAAATTTAACATATTATTGTTTCATGATAATGAAACATAATTTAAATTTTAATCCCACTAATTTTGAACAATTAACAATTTAATTTAAAACATTCTGAATATATTATCGTTAGTACAAATATGTAATGAGGATAATTATGATACATTTGACGTTTTGACCGCAAGATATAAGTATATTCTAACTGATCTTTGCTATCTGTTTGCTATCTGTTTATAAAAATATATAATATTAGTATAAATTTGAAAAACATTCAATAGAATATTAGTCTTACAGAGATTTGGGTCTAAGATTGCTTTATTGTGTAAGAATTAAAAAATAATTTTTTAAATAAATTTTTCATGTTAAAGATAATGTTGCGCTTAAGTAATAAATAATCTTACCGTCAAAATGTTAAGATACAGATCATTTATTTATATCTCAATGTTTATAGCTCTCTATTTTTTGTATACGTTTTTTATATATTCTTCATGTTAATCTATTTAATCTGTTATGTATATTTATTTATTTGTTTGAAATATTATGATTCAGACTGATACAGCGATAATTTATGTTAATTTTGAAAATTATCACGAAATCTGTGAATAAGTCGTTATTACTTCTCAAGTTGAGTAATTACATCTCGTTAATTCATCGCGCGTGTGGTATTACATTTTATAATTTTATAATAATTCATTGTTGTATTTATTTTTTACGCATTTAAAGAATGTACGTAAAAATGGGAAATTTTAGAAAATGAAATTAATTTTTTTCTTCATACTGTTATCATTTTATTACGACATTATAAATCTGTTCTTTTTCCATCCCAAGTTCTAAACTGGTGTACACTGATAAGTTAGAGTGAAACAGATATAGTTTATTCCACTCTAACTTATTGCATTAGTTTAGAACAAAGACATGGAGAATGGACTGCGTGATCCGTATATAAGTATGTTCACATGTGGTCAACAATAATGAGAGAGAGGGACCGTGTGGAAGACAATCAATCTCCCTCTTATTTTCTCTCCCATTATACCGTTGAATGGAAAGAGATAAAGATTGGCAGTCTTCCACGGTCCCTCTCTCTTACTTTTATCGATCTTTTGACACAGATCGCGCAATCCATTCTCTATGTCTTTAGTTTAGAACTAGGTTAGAACTCGTTGAAAAGAACAGATCTAAAAACTGCGCAAGTGATGTTCTAAAATATAAATACTTATCGACAATTGGTCATGTAGTATTCTTCAATTATCACTGGGTCCGTCGGGCCCCATTTGCTGCACACAGAATCTTATCCATGGCTGTCAAGAGTCTTTCGTCAGTAAGATTTCAGCGAGTGCCAATCTTCGTTGTAAGATCGCGCGATGCACGTCGAAAGCTCGCTTACACAATCGATGATCAGCCGATAAAAAAAGATCTCGCGAACCAGTTATGAAAATTCAATTATGTAAAAACGACGCAAGAAATATTTAGTCGGCCATTAAGTTATCCGTACAATGATAATTTACGCGTGAGCGAGCATCAGCTTTGTAATATCGCATGCATAATACATGCCACGATGGCGAGTATAGCGTTTATTTATCGTCGGGAAGGGACGCTAATAAATGACTGCGTAAAAAGTTTCATTAATGGGACGGTAAAAGTTCCGCGTGTAATCGATCGCGACGGACACTGGTCGTCGAGTCGCACAAATTCGCATTGTTGCGATTACGAATATTCGAAATAAAGCGACATCCGATTGGACCGAGTACTCGGCGACGTGTCTCCCACGTTAAAAATGCAGGAAATGATTTCGTAGCCGAAATAAATCGAGCGGCGACTAACGAAAACATCGCACGCAACAATACCCTTAAATTAAACAAATAACAGCGATGGGGTGTGGTCGCGTGCGAGACGGGTCTTCGGGCATTGTCACGTGCCATCCACGCAAACAGAACACTATTCAATTGCGGACCTGCAGGATATGTCATCAGGGATGCATTGTGCATCGAGAGAAAGAGGAGTCGCGTGATCCCACGAATCACACCACAAAAAATGTATGGATTTCTTTCTCGCTTCTAACGAGTGTGCGGATCATATAAATTTTAGCATAAAGGACGTTAACATTGCGTGTGTATAATAAATGTGTACATCTACACACACACACACACACACACACACACACATACATATATATCTATATTAAATATTTTCTTATTTTTAAAATTTACTTAAAATACATATTTATAATATCAAATAAGTTTTCAAAAATAAGAAAAATTTAATCTGGTCGAAATTGCATGCATAATACATGCATAATACATACAGATTAAAATTTAAAAAGTGTCCATTAAGTTTTTCAAAATCTTACAAAATATGTAAAAATATAAAATTAAGTATTCAGAAAGTATTGCGTATGATAAATTATGTATAAGTTTAAAATTAAAGTTTAAAATTATTTATTTATTTCACGAAACAGAAAGCTTGTTTGCATACATGAGATGGAGAGGAATTGAAATAATTCGAAGAAATCTTTACTCTTTTAGTGAGTATCTGAACGCGCTTAAATTTCTGAATTTCCTCTTTAATACTCCGCTACACGAGCTTCTCTTTATGTTCCTTCAGTTCGTTTTTCTCTTTTTTTATTCGCATGGGCTAAAAATTGGCGTATCCTTCCAAGCCGAAGACTCGTTTCCGTATAATCGTCGCCATCGCTTGTAATAAATTAAAACGTGGTAAAATCTAAATCAAGATCTAAAGGGAAAGGATCTGTTGGGAATCAGCGGGACCCCCTTCCGAATTTATCTCGTCGTTCCTTTCTCGAGAACTTCTTTTACGCACGAAATGAAGCAAGGAGGGGAACGATGAGACGAAGGACGGAAAGGGGGATGTACGATCGAGCTCACGGCGGCCAAATCTCCGCGTGGGCCCTACGGTTTTCGAGGGGTATGGGCAGCGGTCCCTAATAACAGGGTATACCGAGGCTAAACAAACATACACGCCCCTAGCATCTCTCGCTGAAAGAGTGCACGGGAAACAAATGGGAAAAAAATGCGCTTTCGACACACCGTGCAACAATTTGAGGATGAAGTATATTTACTTATTTCGCATAATTTAAAGAAAAACAGAAATTCTATCGCGCACCTGCCGGTTGCTTCTGACTTCTCGTCTCCGGTTTTAAAAGGAGACGAGAATTCTGAAGGCGAAAATTCGAGCACAAACATTTTTTTTTTGCCGTAGTACAATTTTATTTATAGTTAAACCAAATAAACTTTTTTGAATTATTTATAAGGGAATTGCATAATATATTAGGTTACTTCATTAAGACATTCAGTCAAACATTAATTTTAGAAAACGAAGAATAAAGTATTATATAATTAATTTACAAATGCGAGGAACAATATTCTTAATTGGAATTAAAATTTATAGATTTGTTCATATTTAATGACTTCCTATTAAGAAAAGATCAGATATCTAAAGTAGAGCATTCATTTAAAATCTCAAGTAATAAAATCCAATTTCGTTAATAACGAATCTTTCGTATTTAAATTTCACACTTGGACAAATAATTTTTTTTAATTACGGATTTGTAATTTAAGTATTAGAAATTAAATATAAGAGAGGATACACTTTAATAATTGGAGAGCGCACAGAAGATAATTGGACTCCATTGCAATGAAGAACTAAACGACATCTCGTAAAACTCTGTTATATGTAGTCATACAATTGAAGAACATTTCGATACGCGCGCGTAACAAAAAGCATTATAATATATTTCATCGTCTCATGTATGCTGATATAATAGGTAGCAACAGAAAAAATGTACTAAACTTTATTTAAAAAGAAACAGTTGTTTGCTCGCCTCTTCAAAAATATCTTGTATTCTGTCAAGACTAATATCGAGAAAAAAAAGGAGTGCACCGAGCGTTCCACTTGGTTTCTTTTCGAAGAGCGGGATAAACGGGTTGTTTGCGTTTCATCTCAGGGTGGTCCACGTCGAAGGACCCACATCATACATAGTTGAATTTAATAACGAATGTTCGGAAGGCATCCTACCGTCTGTAATTTCACCTAAATAATGTATCCCATATAATTAGTCTAAATAGTAGTTCATATTTCTTATTAGCACTACACGTCGTTTTATTATAAACTTCATCTCAGAATCGTGTCTAGGAAACATCATCTACAATATGTTTTGTAAAGACGTACGTTATTTATTAATTACAACACATTGCTTCGAACGACTTGTTTCACATGGCGAAAGATAATTTCTTTGTGCTGCATTGCAGCGTTGCAGCGTTGCATCGAATCGTGTCGCGCAGATTACTCATCGTTTTCTTAATTTAGATGGAAATGTGGAATAAGGAGGGTGAATATGGAGGCTTCATTTGTCTTTAGATCATGTGAAAGGCTGGTAAGGGGCACGCGAAACGCGAGAGAACGAAGGTTAAGTAAAAAGCCGCGAAGAAGAAGAAATGCGCGCGGAGGAAGAAGTGCGGGAAGACGACGAAAGAGAAGGAGAAGAAGAAGAAGGCGAGGACGAAGGTAGATGAGACAAGAGGCATTCTGGTTTGTGGGCACAGCCGCTGCCTGCAGCCCACAATTATGATAATAGCCCCTGGGTCCTGAGTCTTGTTAGGCCAACGTGCAGCCCCAGCTCTTTTATCTATATCTTCTTATTTTCAGACTCGTGCTCCCCCGCCCCTCTTCGTACCGCGGCTTCTCCTACTTTCAACCCTTTACGTCCTCGCGAGGTCAGATGGGTTCAAGCTGATCGATTCGCCGGCGAAAAACTAAATCCGATATATATCCCATCCTTTCTCGAAGCGTTCGCTATTCCGCGTACCGACGATACCAATCGCGAGGCTCCATTCCAAAAGGATTCGAATAACCAAGCTTTATGTTTCTCCCACG